ATCGTCTTAATGTTTTAAAATTTGAAGTATTAATCTCAAGAAATACACCTAGCTTAAGTTGTAACATATGAATGCTTAGTCATTGTTAAAGTCTATGTGACATTGCAATTGACAATTTTGAAAGATGTAACGGTAATTGCTCAAATGGAACGATTGTTAACTTAGAAATTCCTTTTTCACTAACATAGGTAAATGATTTTCTTTATTTTATTAGTAAATTTACAATTAAAAAGTGTTTGGGTTGCTGTAAAATAGTTAGGGCTGGGAATCTAGACCAAATCGTATGGGGAGCCGCTGTTTAGACCGTATCGTATGGTTTGATCTGGACCGTGAGACCAAAATTATGGTTTGGTCTGGTTTGCGGCCTCCTCCTTTAGTGTGTGGTCTGAAATGGTCTTGACAGTGGTCTAGCGTAGTAAACCGTAATGGACCATGACAGACTACCTACTAACTCAGACCCAAATAATTGACTCGCACGAAACTACACCGCGAATTAATCCCGACTAGAGCCCAAGTTTTTAAGCTCTAGTCGGGTGTAGTATAGGGCAAGTATTTAAATTGTCAACCCGGGCCGGTCCATGTACCCTTCTTCAATCGCTTAATTTGTTATCTAGCAAAACGGGTTTGGGTTTAAAACTAAGAAAACTACAAACTAAACAAGCAAGGAAAGTAAATGGAGGAGAATTCTACTTGAGGAGACTTCACCAAGGTATTGCTCCCCCTAGTCTCATGCTAAGAAGCGACAAACAAATCTCCAGTGTGAAGTAAGTGTTCATACACCGCAAGGTGGGTGCAACTATCTAGGGACAAACTCCCTTAGTCGATCAATGGAGGAAAATCAACAAATATAAGCTAAGAGAACTAGCTCTCTTAACCGTTAGGTTAAGGATTGTGATTCATAGCTAGGGAACCTAGCCCTCTTCACCGATCAACCAAGGAGATCCCTAACTCTCTTAGTTAGCTAATTGAGAATCGTTGCAACAAGTTAGAAAACAAACTCACTTAACCTTTCGGCTAAGGGTGACAATGATAGGCTAGGAAACCTAACCCTCTCGACTAGCCGACTAAGGATTGCAAACCAAACCCTCGGAACTTAATCCGGTCAGCGGAGAGACCAATCCTGGTGGAATCACGTCCCTACTCTGATACTTGAGATTTTGATCTTAAATCGACCTAAAGGAGGTAACCTGATAGACCATTGATTGCACATGTTTTTGCCCCTATTCTTGAGCCGTTTGAGATGTTGATTCTCGTGTTTTAAGCCTATTTCACGCTAGGTTGTTCTTGTTTGTGATATTTCAGATCCTAGTACGTGAATGAAGTTTTGGGAACGATTTTGGGGTCGATTGGACGAAGATTGGACGTTTGGCGAGAAGCTGAGGAAGCCACACGGGCACGCCTAAAATTCCACACGGCCGTGTGGCACCACTTTGCACGGGCAAATCACACTGGGCATGTATGGGACCCCTTGTAGCCGTGTGGAAAGTCCAGGGAGCTCACACGGCCAGACTGGAAATCCACACGGCCGTGTGCCTCTGGCCGTGCAGCGTGCCTAAAGTCCACTAATCGAAACACGGTGTTTTGACATCCACATGGGCAGACTGGAAAGCCACACGGCCGTGTGGCCTGGCCGTATGGTCGGGAAATTCTGGGTTTTAACCCAATTTTGAGCCAAAGGAAAGAGAGAGCTGGGTTTTTCGATCCCAAACACCCAAGGGACGAACCAAAGAGAGAGAGGGCGATTTGAGGGCATTCTTGGAGTGGAATTGGAGAATTTCTTCGCCTTGGAAGCTCAAGGAACAAGCCCGGACTTGAAGACTGATCATCTGAAGATTCTTACTGCAGTCTCTCTCTTCTCTATGGAGTAACTTCCCTTCACTTAGGTTTTGAGGAACCCTAGCTATGTTTGTTTGATTGGATGATTGTATGAGTACCCTTACTTGATAATCTTGAGTTCATATTCAATCTATGCACGTTTTCATGATTCAATTCTACTTTAGTCGAGATTATTGATTCTGCTTTGATTCTATGAGAGCGAATACCTAATTAGGTCAATGAGCACCATAGATTGATAGTATTGGATCGATTGCTTTAGTCGAGGGTCGATTCACTACTTTTCATCGATTGGGAACCTCTTTCGATAGAGGGAGTCTAGTTCAGTTCGCCTTGATCGGTTGTTCTAGAGAAGGATACGTCCCTCAAGGCAATTGACTCAAGAGGGCCTTGTTCCTTTAGTCGAGCCTCAAGGTCTAGTCAAGGATTCTCCGCATTGTGAATGAAAGTGAAACAAGTTAGAAATCATCAATCATTAATCTGGCTAGTGGTTAGGGGGAATCATACCTAAGTGAGTTCCCAACCTGTAATTAGATTAACTTTAACTGTAGTTTGTTAGAGTAGTTTTAGTTCTTCCATCTTAATCTGGCTTGCTAGATAATGAACTGAAGCTGAGTAATAGTAACTCTAGAGACCCGTGGATTCAATATTTATTACTTGAGCCACTATACTGCAGTCCCTTTCATTGGTTACACTTGGCCATTGTTAGGAGTTGTGTCATAGCGAGTCATTACCCAAGTGGCTAAGAAGTCTAGCTTCCTATTGAACCAAAAGGGGATTTCCAACCATTAGGTCAATTTTACCCAATATTGAGTTAAAGCTAGCACACTCAATCATTCATGAATAATACCTCAAATATCATATAAAACACTCAATCAGCACACTAGGTTCATGTTCTTACATCCTAGCACATAGAGAGACTAGGATTCACAATACCCAAGTAAGTAGGTAGGCTATTCCATAGCTAGACAAGAGAAATCAATAAAATGGGAAGAAAGAAACATGAAGTGATGCCAATCTTTCCTACTTGTTGTTTGAGACACCCTTGAGATGAAGACATCTTCAATCCTCTATCTAGGAACAAGCCCAAAGCTCCTTCTTCCTCCTTTGATTTGTACTTTATCACTCTAGAAGAAACCCTAACCTCTCACTAGAATCCTTTTTATTCTGAAAATGAAAAGCTAACCTTAAAAATGAAGCTCTTATCTTCTTCCTTTCAACTCTCCCTTTATACTGAGATCGAGCTTAGTTCACGGCCGTGAACACCTAAACGCGTTTGTGAACTCAATGTCGTCTCCAAAACGCACCGCTTCACTCTCCAGAGTTCACAGTTTGCACTCAAAGTTCACAGTCTTAGAGACCGTGAACTTCCTGGTCGTAAGTAACCTCTGAAACCTCGCTGGACGCCTCGATGTTCATGGTTTAAGGATCCAGTTCACGCCCTTAGAGGCCGTGAAATTCAATGCCATGCCGTGAACAACAAGTGATTCTTGGACGCCTGCGCTTCACTAACTTTGGACTTTTCTTCTGTTTTTGTGCTTTTTGACCTCCAATCGTCCCGAACTCATCCTTGACCCTTCCACACGTGCTAGGATCTGAAATATATCAAAACAAGCACAACCTAGCGTGAAATATGTCGAGTAACGACGAAATGCAAACTCAAACTATCAAGAAATGAGGGATAAAATGTGTACAATTAGACCCGAATCAATAATACTAACTTATAGCTCCATTTTTGTATTTGAAGAACATATTAGTTGATTCTTCATCCAGTTGAGAGCCAATAGATTTCCCAAAAGATCGCTTATGTGTTATCTCCTTATCAAATAACCACAAAAAACCATAAAGATTCATAAATAATATTCACCGACAATGTCTAGACTATGGAGTCGATAAAGCATAAACTCTAGAAAAAAAATCATTCACCTTGTTGAGATAAGGAAAATTATTGAGAGATAAGCGACCATCTTAGTGGTTCAAAATGACATCAGCGTCATCACGAAGGTGATCGCCCGCGAGAACTTCATATCACTCGAGAGGGAGAGGGAAGTAGTAGCACAAAAAGGAAGAGGAAAACAAAGCTATTTGATATGGATTTTTTTAATGGATACTGGATAGAGCCGTGGAGACTGGAGAGAGTTTGAAAATTGAAAAAAACCAACTTCTCTCGTAATAAATTTCTTTCTCATTTTATTACGATCACTAAATTTTTGTTTCACTAGCATATTGGTCACTGGAATTTTTATTTTAATAGATACCGACAAAGGATTGGAGGGCGGAATAAGAGTGATTTTTTTAACGTGGTATGCCTGGTCCAGACCGTACCCAGCGGCGGATCCAGGGGGACCGATCTCTGGCCATGGCCCAACCATCCTCTGGATCAAAGCTAGTATAGCACTTGTACATTTTTTATTTTCGGTATTCGTTTAAGTGTTCGTCGAGCTACGGCCTAGCCCATTCAGCCTCTTTTCAAAATGTGGTCATGTGCTCTACCCAGTCCTGGTTCCGTCACTGACCGCACCAGACTGCCTCGTATATGCGTGGTCTGTTTTGGACTGTATAGTATATGGTCTACTTCATGGTCTGTGTTCCAGCCTCTCGGTCTAGACCACATACCATTTCTATGGTCTGTTTCTGTCCGCACCGTTTCCCACCCTTAAAAAGTAGTAGTTAAACCTAAAATTGCAAACAAAATTTAGGGATTAGTTGGTTTGGAATTTTTAAGTAGAGCAATTTGTAAAATTGATGATGCGCTTGTGAGGACCATATTGAAAATTGCTAACGAATTTTAATGACAAAGATAATCTATTCAATGTTAAGGAAAACCTATTGTAGCGATGGGTAGGACCAGAAATACCGATTTGAAATCAATAGAAATTTTAATGATTGAACCACACTTAAATTATGATTTTGGTACAAAATACTATACAACTGAATTTTGTCGATATTATTTTTGGTACGATTTCACAATCCTCCCTATTTTAGGATGCTAAAATTCACTACCCCTATAATTCATTACAGGTATATACTTCGACTGGTGAAGAGTGCAGCCCAATTACTTGAGATGAGCCCATGAGCACCATGCTTGGACCCTTGAGCCTTGAGGCCTCATATTCACATGGCACCCGTACAGTATAAAATCCTGCGCATCTTTCAGCCATCAGCCAGTTTCAGTTTCGCCGTCCAACGTCCGCTCTCGCCAGTCGCCACTAATCACTATACGCTGCTGCTCAACTTTCTCGTCTCCTTCCGCTGCCAAGTCGCAGGTGGGAACTCCGTATAGTAAAGCCCTTTCTCCATAATCTACTCCACAGTCAAAATCAATGGAGATAGAAGAGCGCCAGGAGCAATTCATCAACCAGTTCGTGGCGCAAGCGTCGGCGATCGACGGCGGCCCTGCCTCTTCTCCCTCTCTCGCTCGCCTTGTCGTCGAATCTACCTCCCACCCTTCAGTCTTCTCCTTCGGCGAGATTCTTGCCCTCCCCAATCTCCTCCAGGTTAGGGTTCTTCAGCTTCGTCTCCGTCTTCTTCTTCTTCTTCTTCTTCGTACTCGAGTAATCGGACTTGCGTTTAACCGCGGAATGATGTAGGTTCAAGGAACCGAGAATTTGGCGTACGTTGATCTCCTGAAGCTGTTCGCTTACGGAACGTGGAAGGATTACAAAGGTGAGAAGATTCTTCGTCGTGGCTTTCCTTACCATCGGATTTTGCTTTCTTGCATTGTTTTCTGGTTTCTGCCTGGAGTTTTGACCTTCATTCTGGTAGGGAAATCGAGTGTACTGCCGCAGCTGAAACCGGATCAAATTCTTAAGCTGAAGCAGCTCACTGTGCTTACTGTCGCTGAGACTAGCAAGGTGATTAGCTTGCTTTCTGGTTACAGAAATTCACTGTAGTCGGCTGTTTGTACGAATTGAACTTGTTTCGTTGTTTGCTAATGTGGTTGCTGCCGCTTTCTCTAGGTTGTCTCCTACGATACTCTTTTAGAGCAACTGGAATTTTCTAACGTGCGTGAGCTCGAGGACTTCCTTATTGATGAGTGTTTGTACGCGGTAAGGTCATATTCGGGTTTATGACGAGATTCAGATTCGGAGCTGCATTTTTGTAATGATGTTGTCAATTGGATATTTTTATTTAGGGGATAATCAAAGGGAAGTTGGATCAGTCGAGGCGATGCTTCCAGGTTCAAATCTTCTTTCTTTAAGGGGCATTTACTGCTTAAATGGTGTTTATTGTTTCAAACTTATGCCTTAATGGTGTTATGTGGTTCCTTTCAGATTGAATTTGCGGCAGGGAGGGACCTGGTCCCTGGTGAACTTGAAGCCGTGATAGAGACTGCAAGAAATTGGTATGCATGCTTCCAAAACTTGTACAATTTTCGCTATTAAGCTGCCACAATGTCTAGCACTATGGTTAGTACTTTGTAGAATGTGCATGCATGACATTCTGGTGAAAAGGGGTTTGCACTTGTACAATGAATGATATACTGGGAGAGTCTACATCTGTTAGCTAAAGTTAATGTTAAGGGAGAATTATTTTCTATACTTTGGCTGTAACAGCTGCTACATGTACTTGTATGTACTGCTTTGTTATTAAAAGTTGATACTGTTTTCAGGTTGGCAACTTCAGATAATTTGCTTCCCTTGATTGAAGACAAGATTAGACAGGCTAATGAAATGGATCAATTGGAGAAGCAGCATCAGATGGATGTCAAGGAAAATATTGAAAAAGCAAGGAAGAACCTCCATTCACATGTGAGTTCGTCTCGTCCTTCTTAACTGCATCAGCTGTTAGTGTATGTGTTAAGGTGTACGCTACTGTGCTTTATTAGATATACCTGTTCTATGGTCTTCATTAGTACAATTCTGTTTAAGTTGTTTACAATGGAAGATTATGGTTTCTATGTCTGATCGACTTGGGAACTGTGGAAATGTAATATTGTATGTATGAGGGTGATACGGAGGATAATCACTAAGAACGCTGTTTAGTTTGTCTCTGGTTTTCTATGTACATGGCATGCCCGACAGAAAGATCCATTTCAAGAATGCATACTAGCCAGTACAGTAGTACGGTAACTGAGGAAGATACGAGGTGGCTGCGGTTCACTTTTTTATTAGAGGGCCCCTCTTTTGGTTATACAATTGACTTTTGGTTGGTGCTTAGTGGAACTGCTCATGTAAGGCAGTATTATGCGAACAGCCAACCCTGATATGATTTTTTGCAGGGACATCATGACATCAGTAGTCCTCGTTTTCTTACTGATGGAGAGTTGGATAATCAAACGAGCGGTTTCACTACAAGAAGTAAGTGTTTTCCTCTGTTTACTATCTACAATCTGGAAAATGTTCTTGTGTGTCTGTCTTTTGATACTTCTTCTGCACTCTCCCGTGGTTGCTGCCTGCTGGAGATGGAACCTCTTTCTGCCGAAAAACATAATACTAGACTTCGGAACTGGAAATCTTGTGCACTCGGGCAGTTGGGTTTAACTCTCTCAGTCAGTCTTATTATAGTTTTGTTGCAAATAACTCGGCCACTTTAGCCATATACAATTTTGAGAGCCGTGATTGTATGAATTAAACACGCAGACTCCTAACTGATTTGTTTTGAACCATGTGAAAAATGGCACAGGACCACAAAAGCCAGGCGCCCTTACATCAGAACGTGAAGAGAAGGTCAGCCACTGCTGCTGAGTGCCCTGTCCAAATCAATTTCATACTCGGTTTAGCCTTGTATTGGATTCAGTTACGGCGACTTATTCTTCCAGATGTGTAGGTTCTTACCCCATCCAGAGAATGTAAATACGTAGTGGAGCTAATTCTTTCAGTCCATAATGTTTGTTTTTCCATAGCTTATCATATCCAGAAGACCAGAACGAAAATGGATGGATTCTTGAGGAGCAATCCGGCTAGGCTAGGAGGTCTCATTTGTGAGAACGTGCTTACAATGTCCACGGCCGTTCTAGTAGTGGTTCGATCGGGCGCTGGACACCCGACGACCGCCACGTGTTTTACAACACTTACAAATGGAGTTGTATTGTAAGCACCCTAGCCGGATTGGGGATAGACGATAGAGGGCATGTATCTCTTTAGCCGTTCATTCTATTCTACTCGTAAGGTTGATCTTAGAAGAACACTGAACATCCCCTTGCCCTGAGGTGTTAATTTGACTCTCAGCCAATAGCTGTCGTTATTTCGTCCACGAGGTTAGTGACCTAACCAGCAATGTTGTCCGAACCGCCATATGAATCGGTATTATAAGCTGCTCACACTTTATTGGTTTAACCGCTATCAAGCCGTTATAAACTCGTTATGGAACTGGTGTCTAAGAAATAGAATTATTATAAATAGAAACCATTAATGTTATTATAATTATATATTTATTCTAATATATTCAAACAAAAAATTATATATAACAAGTAAAGAATATTATTGTACAGAAATAGAAATTATTTAAGTGTAATACGAGTGATTTTTAATAGTTATGAACATTATTTAATGATTAGTTTCAAAACTAAACACTGCGAAAGTGTTTAATAATGAGACTTGTAGCTCCTATTACACAAATTGGTAGTAGCACAACTGGATCAACATTCCTCTTTGAACCAAGAGCTGCAGGGTTCGAATCCTAGCCCTCTCCATTTGGCTGGATATTTTTGTCACCAAGATTCTGACCGGTAAAACCGATGAAGCGGTTCGGCGGTTGAACCGGTCGGTTCACTTGTAAGTGGGGTGTTCCAGCCAGGGCGGCTAAATAGCCTGACCGGACCGGATTTGTGGCCGGGTGACGGTTTCACCGGTCGGACCGACCGGTCCGGCTTTAATAACACTGGTAACCAGTATACTTGGAAAGGTTTGTCAGTCGATAAAAAAAAAACGGTTAATTGCAAGGTTGGTCACTGTATTTATTAAAAACGTTCATGTTTGGTCACTGACAATATTTAATTCCATTCGTGGTCACTAAGATTAGTCAAGTGTTTCAAATTTGGTCACTCTTCGTCCAATTCCATTAGTTTTGTCTGATGTGGCAGTCAACTCTCAAAGTTGACAGTTAATAGAGTGACGTGACAATTAAAAAATAATAAATAAAATAAAATTTAATCTTTTACGATTCCAGCTCATTTTCACAATAAAACAGAATAATTAAAACATAAAAAAATTATTATAAATTCCAGATTTAAATCCGCCTGTCTCCGCTTCAACGCGTCGCCCGCTCCCACTTTCATCTCGCCGATTGATTTCTGGGTTCACATAAGCCTCCGTCAAATCACCAAATCGAGAAGCCCAAATTGTAATCAACTTTCCCCAGTACGTCATTCCTTTCCCCACACCAAGTCATTATATTCAGCCTCCATCTTAACACATATATTCAAACTAATTAAGCTAATTGATCTTATGTTATTATGATTATGTGTGTGACAGTGGTAGGAGAGGAGCCCAAACCGCGGTGGAACCCGAAGCCGAAGCAGATCATAATCCTCGAGTCCATCTACAACTCCGAGATGGTCAACCCTCCCCGGGACGAGATTCGCAAGATCCGCCTACAACTGCAGGCGTTCGGCCAGGTGGGCGACGCCAATGTCTTCTACTGGTTCCAGCCGCAACCACCGAACCCAATCTCCCTCCTCCAAACCACTCTCCACTGCCACAGATCAAACGATCGAACAATCGAGAAGTTGGTTTCGACGGGGTGGGCTTCTCGATTTGGCGATTTGGCGAAGGAGGAGGCTTCGGAAACCTAGAAATCAATCGGCAAGATGAAAGTGGGAGCAAAAGCGACGCAGAGGTGGGCGGATTTCAATTTGCAAACTATAATAATTTTTTATGTTTTAATTATTCTGCTTTATTGTGAAAATGACTTGGAAATTGTAAAAGATTAAATTTTGTTTTATTAATTATTTTTTAATTGCCACGTCACTCAGTTGACTGCCACATCAGACAAAACTAACGGAGTTGGACGGAGAATGACCTAATTTGAAACACTTAACTAATCTTAGTGACCACGAATGGAATTAAATATTTTTAGTGACCAAACATGAATGTTTTTAGTAAACACAATGACCAACCTTACAATTACCCAAAAAAATAAATAAAATTTTTTAACTTTAATTTATAATATTCACAAGTTCCTTATCTTTTTACAACGAACATCAACAACTCTTCATATTTTAAAGGTTTGTAAAATATATTCATCTTTTATATTCACGAATCAAACCATTTTTTATATATACAACTAAACAATCACATTTATAAATTGATCACTAACAGAATCAGAAAATTATTCTTGATTAACTTCGTAGCTAAAACGGTTCTTTCGCTGTTTGAAATTGCAACAAGTAAAATCAAAACTAAATTACAATGAGAAACCTCGAATGAGAAGTGGTAACTAGTTAGGGTAACGATATGCGTTAACGTGGGAGTTTCAACGGGAATAGAGGTGACATTATGATAGAAACCTATTTCTAGGGTTCTATCGATTGGGTTGGGAAATTGGGGATTGATGGAGATTTTAGGGATTGAGAAGAGATTAGGGATAGAGATTGAGAATTTGGGGAAGAACAGACAAGAATGGCCGACGGCATAGGTAGAGGTGAAGACGAGATTGAGAAGGAAATATTAGGATTTTGGGAGGGATAACTTTCTTATTATTTTCTGCTTAATCGAACAAAAGACTCCAAGTACATTTTTATAGCGAAAGACGGGAAAAACCTAATAGACTATCCTAATATGACTCAAACACTACTAACCATATCTAAATAAAATTCTAATAATAGTAATTATGATAATTATGATAGATCCCAGAAATTAGGTTTCTATCATCCCCTCCTCCTTGAGACCAACCTTGCCCTCAAGGTTGATAGACTCGGCCCACTTCTCCACGTCGTTCGTGCAACCCACGCCCTGACTCCTCCGTCTCTTTCGCTTCCTTTTCTTCCAATCATGCTTCAACTCTTCACTTGGCCTCCTTTCTTCGATCTTCTATTGCTGATTCAACTCTTCGAATTTCACCTCTATGGGCTCACTAATTGCTTCCTTGACAAAGTCGAATTTCAATAGCTCCTCTTCTGTTGGTATCACACTCCGGCAACTTAAGGAATCCAAAGATTCGTTCTTTTTTAAGAACCCATCCTTAAGTACTAACTCGTCAAGGCCTTCATACTTCTTTCTTGGAGTTGGCCCGTTACCTTGCTCTATTAAGCCTCCAATCTTGTTTGGGCCAACCTTCTTACAAAGCCCAACTCCTTCTTCCTTCCAATTGAGGTCTTGAATATCATAGCAAAAGATACAACTCATAAGTGGCCCAGTTATCTTCAAAAGATGCGACTTATGCTGGGAAGTGAAGTCCACTGCCACTGCTTTGCTTGGGCAGACCCAAGCAATCCTGACCCTGACCCACCCCGTCGATCCAATCAATTGGTCCGCCTCTTGTCTTGCTCGGCCCACGGGATCAGGCAGGTGTGTGGTGCGTCCAAGGGTTTGCAACCCATTGTTGGCGAGAAGAGAAGCAGCGCTGCCCTCCTGCGACGTCTCCCTCCCCATCGCTCTCTCCTTCGGCGGTGACCATTCTTCCCGGCGACAGGGATGAAAGATCGGCCCAGCGTTCCAAATCGCCGACTTCTCCTCCGGATCCGGCTTGTATTGTTGGTTTGGGTTGGGCAAAAATTGCGAACTAGGGTTATCGACAGGAGGAACCCAACCGCCATCTTCGTTCTTCGCCTTCTTCTTCCTCGTCGCGCCGCCCGCCGCCGAGGTTTCCACCCGTCGGCTGCGAGTCACGCCGAAATTCGATGCCGCTCTCGGCTCCGGCTTCTTCACCACGTTCGTCGTTGACCCGAGAGACCCCGTCCGCTGCTCCACCATCATCTGCATCGAATTCAGCTTCTTCTACACGCTCGACGTCGCCTCGAGAGGAGTCGTCTGCCGCTTCCCCTTCTTCGTCCCAGGAAGCTCCCTCATCGGCGGCTCCTTCTCCGCCGTCTTTTCTGGCGGCCTCGATCCGGCGGACCCAATCTTCGTCGTCTTCCTCGATGCTTCGTTTCCCAGCGATTCAGGCTCACCATCCACCCGCATCACCGACTTGCTCGATTCTAGCACAAGGGAAACCGCCATGGGTTGCAGCATTCTTCGCGGGACTCGCGTTGCCGATGAAGAGACCCGACAAACCCGCTTCGGATCTGCTTCTTCCAACCTTTCCTTCTTTATGAATTTCCAACTTGAGCCTTGTAGAGACCGCCAAATTAAACCCCGACTATAATCAACACCATAATATTTCAAACCTGAGATCATTGACATCGGGGGGGGGGGGGGGGGGGGGGGGGGGGGGGGTGTTAAGATCATCTCTCGATTCGTCTCTCGCGACAGGGACTTCCCGGATTTGAACCGCAACAGTAGTCGTGGTGGCCTTGATGTACTGTTTCGTTGGCGGCAACAACTCTACTTCTCTCGGCTGCGCTATCTGCTCCTCCGAGATCGGCGTCACAGCAGCGATAAACGGTGCCACTTTGCCCTTTTGTACTATGACGGTGACCTCATTGGAGATCTCTTCTAGCACCGCCATGGTTGAGCGCAAAACTTTCGCAGTATCCAGTTCCTCCTCGGCAATGACTTCTTTCTCGTCTGCCGCCCCAACATCCTCCGTGAATGCCGAGCCGTCATTTGCAGTCACCTTTTTTAGATCCGCCGATGCCGATTCTGCATGGATGTTGGTCGCGCGGCGGCAGGCCCCGATTTTCTCAAGTTTTGCTAGAATTTCTTCTAGGCCTGCGATCATATTGTTGTGGTGAACTTTCCTGATAGCTTCATATTTTGCTAGGCTGGCTTGAAGGGCTTCAATCCCTTGTTAGAAGTTCTGATAACAATTCCCAGGTGAGAGGTTGGATGAACTCAGATTCGTGACCATGGCTCTGATGCCAGATGATAGAAACCTATTTCTAGGGTTCTATCGATTGGGTTGGAAAATTGGGGATTGATGGAGATTTTAGGGATAGAGAAGAGATTAGGGATAGAGATTGAGAATTTGGGGAAGAACAGACAAGAATGGCCGACGGCCTAGGTAGAGGTGAAGACGAGATTGAGAAGGAAAGATTAGGGTTTTGGGAGGGATAACTTTCTTATTAATTTCTGCTTAATCGAACAAAAGACTCCAAGTACATTTTTATAGCGAAAGACGGGAAAAACCTAATAGACTATCCTAATATGACTCAAACACTACTAAACCATATCTAAATAAAATTCTAATAATAATTATTATGATAATTATGATAGAACCCAGAAATTAGGTTTCTATCACATTATGACAAAAAGTTTCTTATAGTCAAATGAAGATGCGTCTATTACAATTAATGTTCTTGTGTCGAAAGTTCTAGTTTTTCTTTTTTAGTATTGACAAAACCCAAGTTTCTCACCAAAAAATTCGGGCATAGCCGACACGCCACTTTGATACTTGGGTCCGCCCCCTGCTTTGAGGCCCTCTAAAATCCTCTTGGGATCTTGAAAAGGAGGATGGGAGGTTTGGTCTTCGCATTTCCATACATTAAAGCCTTTGCAAGTACTCAACGTGCTAGGCTATCCGAATGGCCAAATGGTTAGTATCCGAATCCTACCATTACTATATAGAGGTTCTCTTCCAGCACCAACTCAATCTTATTTTTCCTGGCTTGTGTGCATCTCACGGGAGGACTCATTAGTCTTTTCCTTTAACTCAGTCCAAGTCTCTAAGATGGGCCTTTAAGCCCTTCGCCAACATCACTGCAAGTACACGCGAACCAATAATTGTTTTTTCTTCTCACCTTCTTTGATTTATTTGTGGTCATTTTTCTTATCTGGGAGATTTTTTAGTTTTCTCCTATCCCAATTCTTTTATTTTTGATGGGTGTGCGGAGGTAATGAAGCTATAATTATTTCTACTTTAACTATTAAATGGTTTATGTATATTGATTGTTGATCGATATACAAACTAGAAGAAATGGATTGTTAAGATCCATCAAACTTGCCAAAAATTATTATAATCGTCTTTGGATGATGTGTTCCGAAGATTTTTCAAGTTTATTGATACTTACAGTATCTAAGTTTTTCTTAATTTATTATAATGCTAGAATTATTATAAACTGTATTTCTTATATTGGAGTTTTGATTTTATTGTATTTGTTGAAGTGTTTGATATTGGAAACCCATCATATAAATGTGAATTTTATGGAGTGATGATGAGAAGGGTGGAAGTACCAAACCTACAAGAAATTCCAATCAACCAAAGTTTTTCATTGTGTTGTAGACAAGACAAAGTGAACCTCTCTCCTCGAGACAGCCTCCAGAGGTTTTGAAAATGTTTATTGCAAGTAAATACTTCGATGAGACAGCACCCTTTTGGAACATACCCGAGGTCTTCACATTAACTTCAATCTAGAGAATTGATAAGAATTTGCTTAACTCTACATCTTTGACATTGCAATGAACTCCAAAACCAGTTAATTTTTTGTCCATGGATCTAACTTCAAATCCTTTATGAGATCCAATTTTTTAACAATTGTCGATATGTTAGATTCAAGTAATATCTTAGTAAAGACATTTCACTCTGCAAGGCATAGATTGACTTATCATATAAAAAATTATGTTCATTATTTTCATTTAGTTAAAGTAGTTTTGTGAAATATGGTAAAACCAATTTTGAAAAGTCAATATATAACATTGTAAGATGTCAATAGATTTTGTTACTTTATTATTATGTTATTTGAATTTTGCGGCATAATTAATTTACTATTTTATT